GGCTGAGACTCCTGGACGTGTTATTCGGTACGTGACGACAGGGGTCAGCCTGGAGGGGTCCAATCACATCGCTGCCTGCGTCGAGATGTCAAAGCAATCGCGAAAATCCACTTGTAGGGCTGCAGGAGGCTGGACGTGTTGGTTGGGACGCGCTGGGAGGGCTGCACGTGGCCTTTGATTATCTTGTGTTATCTGATGTTTGGCTCAGTCGGGCTGTGGGTTCGAGGGGACTCGGGAGTGCGCGCATTTGCGGTCCGGGCGAAATGCCAGCAGGCGTTGTTGTGGTAATGAGTCAAGCACAAACAGGTGGTAATCACGGCTTCCAGCCGGAATAACGAAGCCACGTACAAGGCTCGAGTTCCAGCAGCTTATCCTTGGATGTATCGCTTGACTTCCTCAGCTAGTTCTCTCGAGGTTTACCCTACAACGGGAGTAGACTTTGATCCTTGAAAGGCATATAAATGACCCAGCACCCAAAGCGAAATGTTCCGGATAAAAATAAAAATAAAAACCACACAAGATAATGTTCCCCAAGGACAAATGTCTGACTGGTCAAGCCGAATTGTCGGCGTCAATCAAGCAAGATCTCGAAGACGGCCCGGGATCATTCCCGGAGCACAAACTTAAGTACCCGACCTAACTTGCTCCCAATGTAAAGTACCCTTCCACGCGAAGCCCAGACCCCCCGGTACTCCGGCGGCAGCCATAGACGTCTCCGTGTACCGGTAACTATCCAATTATCACGCACAGCCAGGAAGGCGCACTCGACTGTGGCTGGCGCCGAAGAATCGTCCTGGCCTGAAGCTGAAGCACCCGAGAGCGGGAAGGCCCCTCGCTCGGTCAACACATAACGTTCATCCTCGGACAACCGAAGCAGTTGGGTCGGACCGGGGGCCTTGATAGTCTGCAGATTTTCCTCAGTAGCAACGTCCCAGAGAGTGATCTCGTTGGTGGTCTCAGAACTACTGAGTATATACCGACCATCGCGTGAGCAAGCCAGCGCGCGGACTGGATCCCGAGAGGAGGTCACAATAAAACCACGGGATCCGTAGCGCGGGACAGTGATGTCCGTTATGGAAATATAGGACTTAATGTCACGTGTAGCGTGTGCAAGCAATCGACCGTCCGCCGAGTAACATATCGACGTTATGTCTCCCGAGCTATCCCACAGCCGGCGTACAACGATTTTATCAGCCATGCTCCAAATGTCGACTCCCTGGTCACTAGCACAGGCTATATATTGACTGTCCGGTGAAATGCAGAGACACCTCGTCGGGGAGGGCACGTCAATCGGCAACGTGTCCAGCATGGTATCCGCGCCGCTGCTCTCCACCTGCCAAAGGTGGATCTCCTTCTCATTGGAACTGTAAGCCAGTCTCTGTCCATCCGGGGAAAGCGCAACGTTCGTCACTTGGCGAAGGTTGCGAATCCCGGATCCCCGCCAAGAAGGGTCCAGGTCTATTCTTTCGAGGTCCCAGACCTGGACAATACCATTCCTAAACCCACACGCAAACCGGCAACTATCATGTGAGAAAGCGACGATACAACAATCCCCGATAAGTGTCTCAATAACCTTAGGCCGCAGATCCACATTTTGCTCATTCAGGTCCCAGAGCTGAATTGAAGTAGCGGACCAAGCCGCCACCCACCGGTCATCCTGTGACAATTGGAGTCCGTCGAAGGCCGCTAGATGGGGTCTCAGTCTCTGAATGACCATGCCTTGATTCATCGTGATGGTGTCCAGATCTAGAAGCTCGATCACTTGGCCTTTTTGAGCAGAGTATGCTACTCGCTTGCTGAGCGGCGCAAAAGCCATAAGCCCTTCGTCTGACTTCCCCTTCCATATCGGAATGATTGCACTGCGAGAATACGAACCATCATCGCCTTTGTTGCAAATCTTCGTATGAGTTCCTATAGACCACATGAGCTGTTGGTCGTTATTTGTGAACCCGATGGCCTCAACGGCTTCCTGCTCGACAACATTAAGCATGGGCGGGCCTCCAGGCTTGGTCAAATCCCAGACTTTGATCTCGCGGAATAGTGTGGCCGTGGCGACCATCTGGCTATTGCAAGAAAATCCCATGACTCTGATTGTCGAGCCGGGCGATACATAATCGGTGTCCCCAGTTTCCTCTAAGCTGTGTGGACCTGATCTGGGCAACCGCACCATTGGCTTCTCACTGTCAGATACACGCCATATCTGGACTTCGCCATCAAGCGTGGCGCAGGCTACCAAGCTACCATCCGGTGAAAGGGTAGATACATCGATCCAGAGGTTTGGAGAATCGAAGCAAGTCTGCACTCGCTGTGATCCCGTCCCCTCAGTATTCCAGACATTGGCACTTGTACCTTCGCAGCTAAAGGCTAGCAAGCAATCATCTGGCCCGAAAGCAAGGGAGCGAACTGGACAAGGGCCTTGAGATGTCTGCAGCTGCGCGCCCCAGTTCATTTTGGCCTGTGGTAGCACGGCAAAATCATTCGGCACTTTGCTCTCAAACATTTTCCGTATGAGGGAGATTTGCGGCGTAAACATGATCGCGGACGAGTACACTTGAAGAGGACTTAGACTGATTGGTTCCATCGCTCTCCTCACGAATTGGACTGCATCCAGAAGAAGCCTAGCAAGAGGAGTCTCTGATGTTTTCTAAAATGAGCCATCAGCATCAGACGTTTCAGCCGTCTCGGGTCGGGCAGAAGGTCTCGAATCACTCACACCTACCAGGTTTTGCGCGCTCCTGAGCTGCATCAAAACCTCAGATGTCAGACCAAGGATGCTCATTACTTCCAACCAATGCAAAAGATGTTCTTGAAAGAATGAGTACATGTCTCCTTGACCACCAGGTTCCTCTCCATCTAATAAGTGTTTTAACCAGTACCGACAGGCATATTTGAGCACAGGCCTGATTGACCCTGTAATGTCACTGATCTCGCTTTGTAGAATTCCGTCGTTTTCAAGATTGCAGATATTCCGGCGAAGGCCAATTTTCTTGTCACACATGACACGCAGGCATTGTTTTGCCAAATCTTGATTCCTCGCGACCGTGCTGATCTTAAAAGGGTTGTCATCGAACGTGCCATGATCTACCAGGAAGTCCGGGAAGGATTGGTGCAGAGGTTCTATTGGGGCATCGGCTTCATTCCCGTCCGGTATGATGAGCACGGATCGGAGGAATTTGAGTCTCAAGTGCACGTCATCTTCCTCCATGTCAAGCAGCAGAGCTAAGGAAGTCGCTGGAAGAGGGTCGTAAAGGGTGATGACTGAGCCAACAATATACCGGAACTCCGTGAGAATCTGCTGTCTGTCAACGTCCCTGGTATCAATGATCATTTGCTCTAAGATTGTCCGATATGTCTCGACGAGCTGATCGCCAAAATGCCGGTGCTGGAGAATCACGCTTGTGCGCTCTACGGGGCTGAATCTTTCATCGTCAATGAATAGGCATATGGTTGAAGCGACAATAAACAGCGGGCTTGCACGTTGGGCCACCTCCTTGATGGTCCTCTCTTCAGGCCAAGCCGGAGGAGAAGGGTGATTGGCAGCGATATCGTTGAGTCTAGCATCCAGAAAGGCGGCGATATCACGCTCCACGCCCTTGGCTTTATGAAGGGATACTTCTCGACACTGTTCTGCTCCAAGCTGCTGAAAGCCCTCGCAGACCTTCGGCTCAGGTCTCCCTGTGATGAAGAATCGTAGATCGAGTGCTCCAACACCTCGTACTTTGACTAGATTCCTCAAAAGCTGTCTGATGTCTCTCTTGTCTCTACACTGATCCATGGCATCAATAATGAAGATCAGGATTTGACGTTGATCCACTGGCAGCTTCTTTAGCGGCTCCAGGAGTACGCAGTCGATCTGCTCTTCAAGCGTCTTGGTAAATATGATAGAGTCCTTTTCAAGTACCGCTTGGATTTCAACTTTCAGTGTTGGTAGCAGGGTTGTTAGCTGATATAAAATTGTCGGCACGAACCGCTTAGGTGAGGCACACTCCGTCCGGCGCCCGTCGAAAAAGAAACTAGCCCCTAGGATGCCTCGCGCAGTAAATAACTTAGCGAGGGTGCGAGAAATTGTGGACTTTCCAGTGCCCGCCATGCCGTTCAGCCAGAAGAATTGCTCTCCCTCGGGATCATCCACCCAGCTTACAATCTTCTCCAACATTTCGATTCTTGTGCCTTCAAGACATAATGCTTCATACTGGTTCTCAAAAGAGCCATTGATAGCCTCTGCGGCAACCGGCAACTTCGAAAGTTGAAAAGCTTGGTAGACCTTCTGGATCTGTGCTGCGTTGCTTTCAATGCCAGCAAGCAATGCCTCCGCCTGTTCGCCCAGACGAAGATTCTGGTCAATATTGACCCAACTGTTGATGGCCTGATCTTCCTTTTCAATACTCGTTCGAAGGAGCAACAGCCGGTGACTGGCAATTTCGGGAACCGAAACACTGGTCCAAATCCTCTCCCCAAGGCTAAGTTGTCGAACACGATCCATCTCGATGACATATCGAAGGATACTGGCGTACAGGTAAATAACGCTCCCTTCCATCCCTTTGCTGGTATACACATGGCTTGCCCGCGAAAGCTTCTCCACAACAGTATAGCGAGCGAGTATCGCGGACAGAAATTCCGCGGATTCAAACAAGGCGTCCTGAAGTGCGATATCGTTTTGGGCCATCTGTTTACACACTATGGGTCAGTATTGACTTGACTGGGGATAGTATGCCCGGACCTTGAGCCCCAGTGACACTATTGCCCAGGCGGCAGATGCATGTCCTGTGGGATCAGCGGCAACAATGCCACTAATAGCATCCCGCACTGAGATAGCAGAGTTCAAGATGCACTTGGCACCCCTTCTGATTCGATGCTCATCGTCTCTCAGTTTTCGAATCTGGAACTGCGTCTCAACCACATGAACAGTGTCTTGCAGCACTGCCGCGAGACTTGTATCATCGGGCCCATCGTGAACCGATCTCAGCTGTGACTGCTCATTCTGATCAAGCGACCGAAAAGCGATTTCCCAGAAGTCCTCAGCAAAGGCAATAGAAGCACGCTCAGCCTCCCGGGTTTGAACGATGGGAGAATTATCTGGACAGTTGGTTTGATTCAAGGACTGCTCGGGTGCGTCAACGGGGTTCTTTGAGGCAACTGTCTTCTGCTTCCTCGAACGCCAGCGCTCGATCAGCCAACAGTTCTTTCCTTTCCGGGAAGACATCCAGTAGTGTCGAAGGCAAGAATATTCTGATTCTGCCGCATCACTGACTCCGGATAATGGAGGCGCGGGGTGGAGGCTGAACGGGGCCTTCTTAACTCTCTGCTGAGACTGCGTGAATTGCTTTTTGGGAGGCTCTTATCCTACCTTTGAGCTCAG